CTTCGCCAAGGAGACCTCCGACCGCGGCCTCCTCCTGCCGGACGTTCCGCTGAACCAGGCCACCGTGCTCGTCTCCTACTCCGACGCTTCCTGGGCGAACTCTCCTGGAGACTTACGCTCACAGTTTGGGCTGCTTGTGTTCGCTACCACACCGCAGGTGACGAGTACACCCACACTGGGCACTCTGCTCGACTGGAAGTCTGGCAAGAGCGCCCGCGTCTGCAGGAGCACACTGGCGGCAGAGGCCACGGCCGCAGACGAGGCAGTGGACAGGTTGCACTACACCAACCTCTACCTGACCGAGATCCTCACCGGTGAGAAGGCCTACAAAACGAGGCCCCTGCTGAAGATGCTCCACGTGGTCGATGCGAAGTCCCTTTACGACTCCCTCGTCCAGGAGAACCCTCAGACAACGGAGAAGCGGCTCTTGATCAACATCAAGAGCATCCAGGACAGCGTGGATCCTGAAAGTATCCACTGGGTTCCGACCCATCTTATGAGAGCCGACGGCTTGACAAAGATATCGGCTGAGCTGATGGAAGGCCTTTGTCATTGGCTCTCGGCCCCTTGGATAGTGCTCCGAGAGGTCAAAGAAAAAAAAACCAGTGTTAAATTTGAGCCTTCAGCTAGCAGTGCGTCTTGACCTCTCAGCGCTTCCTTCGTGGCCTTTCCTCTCGAGGCAGGGCCCCCTTGAGCTTCTTTTCACGTGCACCGCTTCCGCGGAAAACATGTGCGCATAGCTGCTTGTGACTTGCACGTCTCGCAAGTGCTAAGTCGAGACACGCTCAAGACGCTCTTTTCTGATCTCACACCAGCATCTCGCGTGTTGTTGCTTTCACAGGCCGGGCCACAAGCCGCGCGGGCCCTGACGGTTCTACCTACCTGGACGTCTCCATCCCCTCGTGTCAGCCCCCTTTCTCGGGACCGCCGACCGCACCCCGGCACAAAGACCCATGCCAGGTGCTGCTGTGCGCACGGCGCAAGCGCAGGCAAACGCACACGAGCTCCACCAATGCCGCCTGGTCGTGTTTGACGCCCAAGCCGCCTCCTTCCTCCGTCTGTTCGCGCAAGCCTGCGCCTTTGCTACGCCGGCAGCGCCGCGCCCAGCTGCACAGGCAGCCTGCTGTTGCTGCAAGCGGGCGCAACCACGTTCTTCGAGCTGCCGCTAGACGCAGAGCCCTGTGCTCCCGGACCAGCCCCGGCCTTGCACGAGCTCCTCGCAGATGCCCGTTGAACCGGCGGGCCTCAGCCGAGCGGCGTCCCGGGCCGCCCGTAGCGGCAGGGTAGGATGTATAGGTGCTGGCTGCGGGTCGCAAAGATCCAGCCATGTGGCGAATCAGCGACATCATGCCAAACGTCTGCTAAAATGTTTCAGATCATCGTCCCACCATTTCGGAGGTCTGCCAGGCTTTCTCTTCGGCCGTGTTGCGAAGTTGTTATGGCGAGTTGGATCCCAGCTCGCAGCAAACAATGGCCAAACATTCTGCTTGACATCCCCCGACCATGTCGTCACCGGCGACTGCAAGCTTCACCCTCGACACGATACCAGCCGACGATGTATCTGATCATTTTTCCCCAAGCGGCGTTGATCCGGTGAGCAACCTGAAGAACTGAGCATCGGCGAAGATTAGTTACGTCCGCACAACGCGTCTCTCCGTCGGTAATCACCTAGACGCCTATGCGGGCTGCTAGCGCAGCGGCAGCCGGCTCGGGGCGCTCGCGATCGCGAGGTCGAACACGTCACCCAACGCGAGTGCGTCTGGCGCACCAGGCAGCGGCGGCATGGATTAGACACCAAGCGCGGAGTTGGCAACCGCTCGCTGCAGGGCAACCGACAGCACACTCCACCAGCGCAGCGCCCAGTCCTGGGCTGCGGAGGCGCGCAAGGGTGGAGGGCACGTTGGACACGGAGCCGCAGTGGGGTACGGGCGGCCGGTCGACTTTTTATGCGACTAAAGCACGACTTAGGCCTTGAATACAGCTCCCGAACCAATATCTCCTTCAACAGATGAGCAAGACATGGTTGATCCAAGTGACTCATTGCAGCCGTATACTACTGCATAATGTGGCGGTTCTAGTATCGCAAGCCCCCAGAAAGTGAAGAGGCTTGTGCCCAAACCATCCCCCCCGCGGCAGGTGGGCGGGGAGGCTGAGACACACACGCATCACGTTGCAGCAACACGATCTCCTGTGCACGAGAGGGCTTCTCGAGGCACTTGTTGCCCCGCCCTTGTCGCACACGCCCAAACTCCGCAGCAACATAAACCATCGTGCAAACGCGAACCCATGATGCGACTAAACCATTACATGGGCACTGAATACAGCTCCCGATCCAATATGAAAAGGTTTACATGTCATAATCCGTGAAGACATTCGTGGAGCTCATCGTGACAACAGCGGTGAACAAGCATTTTTATGCCAGTCTATGTCAACAGATGGGCAAGACATGGTTCAAGTGACCGTCAGTGCAGCCGCATACACCCACGCGCACTACTGTACTGCATAATGTGGCGGTGCTAATATAGCTGCCCGGAACCCCTTCTGGCCCATGACAGTCCATGACCGCGACATTGATTGAAATTTGAAATGCACCCGAAAACCTCCTCCCATGCCCGCAAGAAACACCACCGTGAGCTCTCATCCCCGCAAAGTGGCCAACACAGTCGGCAAGGACCGACAGTGTCGCATCACGGCGCGGAGGAAATCTTGACCATACAACCAAGGCGCATGGACGGATGCATCCATGCCACATCAACCACCGTAACGCAGGCAAGGGGATGGGATGTGGCCGGCAAGGAGGCACTGACGTTAGTTACAAGGCGTTGGATTTGATCATGTTGGGCCGTGATGTTCACGTTGGGGGCTTGCCGCAGCGTGTTGGCCCACATGGGGCACAAATCGCACCTCCACGTACCGAAATGCGAGCATAGGGTGCCTGTCGGGCAGCACGTGTGCCGAACCGGGAAGTGAACCTTTCGTGCGCTGTGAGCTCAGCCGCACACGCGAGGTCCAAGACCAACTGCTCGGCCGTCTCCCTGCTCTCGGCGATTTGCAGTCCGCGTGGCTTCTCTTGCTTTTCTAGCCGACTGCTTGGTCCAAGTTCTACAGTCCGCGACCGAAACCGCTGCCCCTTGCAGCCGCCCGTCACGCAGCCGCCTGCGTTCGCGAGCAGGCCTATACGATACCCCCTCATCGCTGCATCAGTGGCAGCCGCCACCAGGGCAAGCAGACCGCGACTTCGGCGGCTTTCTGCGGGGCTGGCAGCACCAGGCTTCCCTTGCCAGAGAAAGATGCGCTCGAGTTGCATCTTTCGTACTTTGATGCCGCACCTCGAGCACTGCTTCTGTCACAACTTGGACCGCATGTTGCACGAGCCTTCACCGGCTTTCCCGGTGACTTCGCCACTGTTCCGCTTCCTGATGCTGCCGGCTTCGCTTGCCGTGGTCGCCTTGACTCACTCGCGCAACTTCCGGAGTGCTGGCCCCCCCGGCCCTCCCTCTTGAACGGGCTGCTGCGAGGGTTTGATCAGAAGCCGGCGCACGTGTTGCCAGGCAGACATGAACAAAATCATGAACATCGATGTGCCGGTAGCCGACGACCGCCGCATCGAAGTCGTCATGAACGAACTGGCTCTCTGTAGCATGGCTCGCAGCAAGCCGTAGATGCCACCATCGTCCGCCCCGTCACCAAAGTCAGGTTCAAGAGGTCCTGTTTGTGATGTTCCCTCAGGGGGACCTGGGCACCTCTTATGTCATCAGGGCGTGTGACGCTCAGCCAAGTGCTGACGTGCACTCTGGCCGAGCCGTCGAAGGAGCCGCGCGACGCAAACGGTATCAGACTTATCCTGAGCTCGTTCGTGCCCGGCGCTGCCGCCTAGTTGTTGTCGGTGGTGAAGTCGGCGGCCGTCTTGGCGCTGGCTCCGCTTGCTCACTGGGCACCGGGCCTTGGAGGTACCCCTGCCGCTGCGGGCAGCCAGGCACGCAGCTAGGGTTGCTCGCTGGTCTGGCCTGCTGGCGGTCGCTGCCCCGCGCGCCGCTGCTGGAACCCGCAAGATGCACGCGTGCATGCAGTAAAGTGGGATCAAAAGCACCATGTGACGTGTGTGTCGGCATGATTGGTTGACTGCTCGCAGTGTTGTGTGCTCACAGCTTCACCTGCTTATGTGTGAGTGCGATGAACCTGTCGTTGCTGTGGAACTCTCTGACCTGACGTTTCATGGCAGCATACGGCACGGACGAAGGAGATACACCTTCTTGTGAAATTTTCCCTTCCTGTTCGAAGACGAAAAGCTGATGCCTTTCGTGGGACTCAACGGAATTTGGAGCGGCCAGACGGATGTTGCTGGATTTGCAAAAGCAAGCTCAACACAACAGCTGTGCAATCTTTTGCACAAGCGACGGGCCTTCGTTCCCTTGGCAACACAGTGCAGTAAGGCTCCTTCTTCGGAGTAGGGTTTCTTGTTAATTCGTCGCAGAGCCTGGCGGACAAGGGCCGACCAGCGCAGATAACGCAGGTCAAGGATGAGGCAATGCGTGTAGACATCGAGCGGGAAGAATTGCAACGATGGTGCTGAGGACTAGCTTCATTCGTAAAGGAAGCTAAATTGCCGGCCGCTGATTTTGCTGATTTTGCTTGGCACCCTGACGCAATAGGAAGCTCCGGGAGATCAACGCGACTTTGTGGGGCGTTGGTCCGTACCTCCTAGCTCAGACGGCTATGCAGTTCTACGTCATGAAGTTGCAAGAGTGCGACGTGCGTGGTTTGTTGGCGCCAGAGCATCATGAGCTTCGTGAATCCGGCATTGACGAGCTTCTGCTGGAGCTGGATATGCAGAAACAAGAGCTGAGGCTGGTTTGCCAGCCTTGCCAACGGTGGTCTAGCCCGCAGCGCCCCATCGCCGCATCGCTGCTGGAATCCATTTGCGGGGAATGCAAGCTTGGCTCAAGCCTCAAGTGCTCAAGAAAAAGCTTGCTGACGTAGTTCCGTGGGGATAAGATTTCATGGCGGAGATGAATACTCCACCACCTCGTGTGAACAAACGTCGAACTGTGTCGCCACTGCATGAATTGGATGGCACTGAACGAGCCGATGACAACAGTTTGAGCCCAACACATTCAACGCCAGAGTTGGAGAGTGAAAGCAGCCAAAGATCGCTTGATAGCATTGCCCGAGTGGTGAGAGCAGAGATTCAAGCAGCCGTAGCTCCTTTGGAATCACGTCTTGACAATCTCCAATCCAGTGTTGATGGTCGGCTTTCGCGGGTCGAAAGTATGATAAACACGCATGACCTCAGAATCGGGAAGGTTGAAGGAGCTCTTGACAATTTCCTTATGAATGGCAAGACAATGGATGAAACCACAGCTACCCAAGTAGCCCAGATTGAAAGCCAACTGTCCGACTTGAAGGTGCAAGTGGATGCGATGAAGGTTGTGACGCACACCACGACAAGCCCGTCGCAAACAGACACCAAGTGCACAATGGTGGTAGGCGGTCTAGCAGGCTTGAGGACCTTGCCCGCTGCATCCAAATGGTTGACGGATACTTTGGAATCCTTGCATGGACCTATACATACAGGTGTGTACGTGAAGTCGGAGGATTTCACCGGCCTCATGTTTGCAAAGTTCCGTTCGCAACTTGATTGTGACACTGCAGTCGCCACCTTGCGCAGTGCGAAACTTTCGGTGAATGGTTCGCTCGTTTGGGCTTCACTGGACTTACCACCTCACATCAGAGCCAGAAAAGTTTTCATGCTAGGGTTACGCTGGCAACTTGGCCAGTGGGGCTTTGTCAAGCGTGACATAGAGATAGCAGAAGATTATTCAAACATGAGCATCGGTGAGAAGGTGATCTTCAAGCTTGCCTCCTGTGTTGAGGGGTTGTTGAAACTGGAATGGTCCGACGAATGGGCGAACTGGACAGAATTCCAGTCAAGCGCCGAAGTACAACAGCTAGCTGACAGAGCCAATGCCATCCTGGAGAAGCAAGCGAAAGGTGTAGGCAAAGGCAAGAGCAAGCAAAAGGTTTAGGGACAGCTCCGTTCGAGTCCAGTTTCACCAACGTCGCACGCTGCAGGTCAACCTGTTCATGAGGTGAATAAGACGACGAATGTACAGTTATCGCATGATTTGGATGTTGACGCAACAACCAATGATTGTCAATCAAATTTTTCCAATGGTGGGTGCTTGCATGAATGGGTTGTATATACAAAGAATGCTCGTTTACATTCCGATGCCAAGCTTACTGAATTATTGGGCGAAATGCAGAGTCTGAATGATTCGTGGGACGTGGTGTTGTTTTCGGAAACCAGACGATCGACAGAAATGACTGTGCTTTCAAGTGGACACCGATTGTATTCATCACATCAACAAACATCGTGTGCAGGTGTGGCTGTTTTGGTACATGCACGACATTGCGGCAATATTCAGAAGGTTGCAACAATCAACGAGCGATTAATGTATGTTGACGTGCAAACATCCTCCAAGACAATCAGATTGATTGCTGTGTATATGCCTCATGCCGGTTATCCTGAAGATGACTTGCATCGTGTATACGATCAGTTACATCATGTTTTTGGACGATGCCAGAGCAAAGTCTCATGTCGTGTTTGTGGGTGGAGACTTCAACACGCAGCTCCACGTCGGCACGCGCGGTGGCTTGTTACAGCATCTTTTACACATGTATCAGTTGTATGTTGCTGGTGGTGAAGGTGGAACCGAAAACGCATGGACTTTCTGCAGTTCTATGGGCGTCCGACGACGGATTGACTTTATTTTGCATACACGCAACGTGGATGTTCGGCATTCTGGCCCATCAGATCAGTTGGATTTGGGTTCGGATCACCGCTCCGTATGCGCTCATTGCAAGTTGGCCGTAGTACCATGCAACAGAAAGTCAAAACGGCGAGTCAAACACAAATGGTTGTCCAAGGAGTATGTGCCGAAATACCAAGCTGCAATTACAGAAGGTTTACGCTTTGCAACTCCGCAAAGCTTCGAAGACATCGAGTCCTTTGTGGTTCAATGCGCCAACGCTGCGGCCAAGGAGCCGCAAACACAGCATCCAACACCCTGGCAGCAGCCACATTTTCAGAGTCTACTTGATCTTCGCAGGAGATGCCGTGACAAACGTGAACGATGCAGACTTTCAAAGTTGATTCGCTCTGGTTTACGTCGGGAAATGCGCCGCAGAAGAAATGCTCGATTGAACGAAGTATTGCTTGAATTTCGGGACTTGAGCAGGTTAGAATCGATTCGGCATGACCCTTTGAGCAATATGAACAGATCTCATGAGCATGACCCGCATCCAGATGAGTTTGCAGCATACTTGGCCGAGATTTTCGCTGTGGACGAGGCTGACCTCCCCCGCACAAACCCGTCACAACATATTTTTAACATCCCTCCTTTCACAAAATCAGAATTACAAGTTGCATTGCGCCGACTTCGCAAGCACAAATCTGCAGACCCCCGAGGTGTGGAGTTGGAAATGTTGTATTATGCGCCAGATGAGTTATTGGATTATCTGCTGGAGTTGTATAACGACTTGCTTCGAACTGGACATTTGGACAAGGAATGGCAGCATACATTATTCACAATGTTGCCCAAAAAAGGTGACCGATCCAAGCCGTCAAATTGGAGACCGATTGCTTCACTGAAGGTGTTGTATAAGGTCTTTTCCAAGATGATACACGCACGGCTACAACATGTCCTTGATCCACAACAATCTTTCGACCAAACGGGTTTTCGGCAACACACTGGTGTAGAACATGCCTTATGCGTATTTGACAACGTTTGTGCCAGATCTTTGGAGTATAACTGCGAGATTTGGGTTGCGAGTATCGATTTACGAAAGGCTTTTGATCGGATACATCATCCAGCTCTGTTTCGAGCACTTCGGCATCAAGGAGTTTCCGAGGGATATCTTGAATTGTTACAGACATTGTACTCTTCGCAAACAGGTTCAGTGTCCGACAGCCGCAAATTCCATATTGGACGTGGTGTAAAACAGGGCGACATCATTAGCCCACTGCTGTTCAACGCCGGTCTGGAACACGCGGTACGCGAATGGAAAGCATGTCTACGTGACGAGGGTATTCACATTGGTGCACCAGCTAATTTGACAAACATCCGATACGCAGATGACTTGATGTTGTATGCCAAAACATGGCAAGAACTGGTACGCATGCTGGAAAAGCTAAAAGCAGTTTTGGCAAACATTGGATTAGAACTCAACGCTGAGAAGACTCGAATCGTTACGACCGCCAGTGAAAGAAACATTGCCTACATTGATGTTGACGGCGACATGGTTCAAGTACTCGCAGATATGGAGGCGCACATGTACCTCGGACGAAAAATCCCGGCTGATCTTCGAAGATGCTCAGCTGTTGAAGTTGCCCACCGGATCAACGCCGCCTGGGGCAAGTTCAACAAGTTCAGGTATGTTCTGACAAATCGACACGTTTCAATAAATGGTCGACTACAGTTGTTCAATGCAGTCGTCACACCGACGGTCTTGTTTGGTCTTGGCAGCCTCCCCCTTACCAAAAGACAGTTGGAAGAAATTGACACGTTGCAAAGAAAAATGTTGAGATCCATCGTCGGCTGGTGTCGTGTCGAAGGTGAGGCTTGGTCTGACACCATGCGGCGTATGAAGTCCAGAGTTCAATCTGCAGTTCGCCAGTCGCCGGTGACTACATGGTCGAAAGTATATCGCAATATGCAACACAGTTTCGGGGCCCGTATTGTCAAACAGAATGCTTGGCCATTGTTTGCCGCGAGCTGGGATCCAACTCGACATAACAACTTCGCAACACAGCCGAAGAGAAAGCCTGGCAGACCTCCAAAACGGTGGGATGATGATCTGAAATCTTTCAGTCGTGCATATTTTCCCTTAGCAGAGGCTTGGCATGATGTCGCTGATTCGCCAGAATGGCACTCTTTACGACACCGTTATATCCAACTTTGTAAAGATGATGTACCTTAATTTGTTCCCACCTGTCACCCATGTCCTCATAGGACCGTAGTCTCTGACTCGAACGGGCAAAGTGCAAAGTGCAAAGTGCAAGCTCGCTTGGGACGCCCCTGAGCTGCATGAGGTCCTGGCCGATGTGTGCTGGCGGCTGCCCGATGAGGGCCTGGTGTGGGCGCCTCCATAGTACACGGTAGGGGGACGCGTTTGTTGGCTGTGTGCGACCAGAACAAGGTGCGTTGAAAAAAAAAACCATTGATGCGACATGATTTCGATCCCTCACAGATGGGGCACGGCTTGGATGTTTTGTTTATATAATCGGATTCCTTAGAAATACGGTGTATTCGGCATGCTTAGGCGCCAAACTGACCACATGCTGTCGGAAAGTGTGAAAGTACGCGCCGGAACGGGGCGCAGCCACTCTGGAACTTTTCTTGGAACTGCTGCGCGAGCGTGGGTTTCCTGAGGCGCCCGAAGGCGTCCCGTATATCCAAGGCGGGTTTGGTGAGCTCCACCAAGTGTCGGAGCTTGAATGCCGGTATGATCGCGCCAGTGCAGCAAGCGGCACAACACATACCCCCAACTTGGCCACGCCCGACGCTGCCGTTTGGTTGTCGTCGGGAATGAGGTCGGCGGCCGGTTTGACTGCGAGGCCGTGCAGCTATGGCCATCGGGGCCACCGGCGGGCTCTCAGCGCCCAGCGCCCCTTCGCGGCCTCTCTCTCTGAGCTCGGAAATGGAGAAAAACCAATAAAACCCAACTTGCACGAGCTCCTTGCCGACGCGCGCGGGGACTCCGGCTGCGCTGACGCCGCACCGTAGCTCGCAGCTGGGTGTCTGCAAGGTGCAAGTGGCAGAAGAACCCGAACATGCGCACTGGGTATGGCGATTTCGTCGCCAGTAGGAAGGACATTCAAGGCATGGGCGGCGAAGGGGCTTGCCTGCGACAGCAGCAGCTCGAGACGCAGATGTGAGGTCAGTAAGGTGTGCCTCATATGCGCGCACATCGCAAGCGCGGGCAGCAAACCCTGGAACAGGGCCAGGGGTCACGCTCTCCGCAGCTTTGTGAAGAAAGGGCAAAGGTTTCACAGCCTTGAGCTCGCAGATGCGTCTGCGGAGGACTCGCAGGGCCCGGTTATGAATGACAGGCAAGGTGTCGCACCATGAGGCTCAATGGGCAGCAAAGCGCTCAAGGAGTGCGGCCAGGCACTGGGCAACTGCTGCATCATACGCTCCCGCATGAGAGATGGCGAGGTGAGGGGCCAAGATGTGCAGCAGATTTGACATGCGGGGAAGGCCGACAGTGGCATCGTGGTCAAAGGTCACGGACGCGGATCGCGCGCGGTGCCACAAAGCGCTTGCAAAGGCGGCGTAAAGCGTGCGGATGCTCGTGGGTGCCACAACTATGTACACATCAAGGGTCGCAAAGCTGAAGAGCTGGCTCTGAAGGTCATTGGGCGCAGCTTTTGGTGCCAGGCATAGAACCCGGCACCAACGGGTCACTTTGCTCGCCGCCCTCGGCCTGACAAAGCAAGCTAAACGCCAACGCAGGCGCTGACAAGCCTTCTTGCGTTCGCTACACTTGCCTGCTGCTGCTGCTGCTGTGTTTTTCCTCCTGTGCCAGGTGTCCTGGCTGGAGCTGCCTTTTGCCTCAGGTCCAACCCTCAGTTTTCCCCTAAGGCTGCCTTTGCGGACGCTTTGCCAGGCCAGCCAGCTTGGCTGCGCCCGCTGGCTGCTGCCCGCACGCGCTCACGTTTGAAGTGAAGCGGTGCATTGTATCCTAGGGTGTATTGCACTGCGGTTTCGCCCCGCCGTGCCACGAGCAAAAATTTTTTGCCCGTCAGCTACAGTCATGTCGCGCCGCGCGCTTTCCCCGCCACCCCTCACCGCTGGCTGCCCCTGACACGGAGGCTCTGCCGTCACGCCCCGCCGCGGCGCTGGACAGCCCGCCCGCACCGCTGCCCTCCCCGCCCTCTTCACCCCGCCGCGGCGAAGTCACGGAGTTCGCTTTGCCTCCGTTGGCTGCGTGCCCGGTTTGCCTGCAAGCCCTCCTCCCAACCCCT